GGAGCACTGAGGACTGTATAGAAAGTCCCCAAAAAATTCACATGTTTTTTAAAAATAGAGTAAAAGCGAGACCAGACCTAAGGGAAGAAAACTTGGGAAATTCCAGGCTGCATTACACCATTAAAAATGGGCCCAATCAGAATTGGACACAAAGAAAGGTTTTCCACCAATAGAATTGGTCTTAAGAGGGAAAGATTAGCAAAAAGAGGTGGAGACTCATTTGAATCTCCACCAGCATATAAGCCAGGGTTCTGAGAGCAGGTTTTCAGTCACACTCCGGAGTCTGACTCGCTAAGTTGTATGTGTTAAAGCCTGTTGACACATTAAACTTGATTGCATCGGACTTTGCCTGTTTCCAGTGTTTCTTTAAGTATTTGCCAGCTGAGCCTAAGGTACCAAATCGACATCTGAGGACACCTGATAAGAGACAAGAGGTTCAAGGTCGGGAGCCTACAGGCCCACTTCCAGGCACCGATTTTTGACACTTCAAAAGGTGGGGCTTTTATAGCCTGGTGCATGCTGGCCACGTAAAGTGGTGTGAAAAATATGCGAATAAAAACCTGTTCTGAAAACTTTAATGATGGATGAAAGTTTCATAAGTCAGTTGTTCAACTGTTCAACGTAAGCTCATATTTCTTTTTCAACGTGGGACTCTGTGTTTAGGTGTTAGTTTTTAGTATTGCGGCTCAGACAAACCAAACAGACTTCAGAGAATTAGCTAATTAAGGCCCCCTGCTGTGTCTCGGCCAAAACAACTTAAACTGGTGGCCAACCAGCACATACTTTTGGCACCTGCATGAGAGAAAATAACTCTCCATACCAGCAGATGACAATCGTCTGTGTTCATCATTCAAAAAGGGAAACCAGAAGACCGTCTTGATGTAAGTTAGTCAGTTAGCATATTAACAACCTAATCCAATTATGAAGGAACAGAACATATTTACTGTGCACCAGTGAACAATAACACAAACCATCATGAAACTTTTCTGCCAAAGAGCTGTGGATAAAGAAAAATAATTTAACCTTATGTAACAAGTTTGTTTTGATCTCACTCCCTCGACTTCAGCTCTTTGTTTACTTTCCTCACCTCCGTTTCTCCTCTTGTGCACTGAGCTGAACTGCCAATCAGAGTGATTTCATTTACAAATGGGCTCCTCTGTCTCTGACGCCGATTTCATCATGCTGAAACCGCTGAAAACAAGCCGACTAGTGCTGATGAGGGTCAACGGTGCCAGACACACCACAGCAAGAAGGGCCACGGATGCTCACCTACAGCCAAACATTGATTTGATGGCTGACAAAATTGCTGAAAAAAAACCCCCATCTAAATATTTTATTTAAAAAAACGTTTTGAAGAATCACATGTTAACATCTATTGGTAAAGTTAGCCTCAGAGGGGTTGCATTGTTGTAACACTGCATCCATTAGATCTGGTTAGTTCCGGTTTCATGTTGCAATTATGCAAGCGTGATACAAAGTTCTTCATGATATGCCTATATCTTGTCATCATCACCTACGTCAGAGTCCTGAATAGGTTTGATTTTTCAAAAATGAAGTTTGAAGTGTTTTACCATCCATCCATCCATCCATAATAAATAAGCCTGGAAATTCCAGGGGGGTGGGGGGTGGAACAGTTGCCAGAGTGTGCTATCACAAGTGATGATGTTCCAGTTAGATTTGATAATGTTATTGATCTAAAGTGCCAGGGTGCTGTATGTAGTAGTGAAAAAAGTTTGGTTGGTGTTTACTTTAGCTGGTTTGGTGTCATGCAGTATAGAGTGGCTTTCCGGTGTGCATCTGTGATAATGTTGGATTTGTATTTTCGTTCAGTGAATCTCTCTGCCATGCTGTGAGACTGTGCTGTGAAGTCCTGATCTTGGTCACAAATAAGTCTGAGGCCTAAGATCTGGCCCTGTGGAATATTTTCTATATTACTTCAGAGAAACTTTTTGGATTTTCAAATTTGATGCCATGGAATTTCCAGGCTTAAATGAAGAGATTGGCAGACCATTTTTCATACATAAACATATACATACATACATAGGTTTTTCCCCCATGTTTTTACCTTCACAACCATCACCGGAAAAACTTTATTTTGAAGTTTGCTTTTTATGTTATTTTATTTATTTTTCAACTGGAAGCACCCAACATTATAAGTTGACTGCACGCCTGTGCATACAGACTCTGCCCTGACGAAGGCCAAGAGGCTGAAACGCGTAGGCAAAAATCTACCCCTTTATTTTCCTACTTTTCTTTCCTTCTCCTCACGAGTGTCGCCTGGGATCTGCCAACAGACCACAAGAATACAGTAAGTGGCCTCTGGCACCACTATCATTTTGTGCTGGGCGGCAGGCAGGGGCAGGCACCTTGGCATGCTGACCCCTGGTGTTGCAGACTGGCTATGGGGACATGGAACATCAGCTCTACAGAGACACTCTGTATCTTAAGACATGCGTGACTCTAAAACTTTACTGTTTCCTTCAATAGTTTTTATGGTATTTGTCTCTGCAGTGTCTCCTCATGTTGCAAATATCACCACCTCATCACTGATGATGACTTCCCGTTCATTCTTTCAGGGAGGGAAGGGAAACACCTGGACGCCAAGGAGCTGAAAGACGCTCAGAGTATCCACAGGAAGGTGGCAGAGTGTCTGAAATTCAACATGTCATCACAGTTCACCTACGACGGGAAGGCAGGTCAGAGAGAAAAATAAAACTACAAACCATCTTTCTGACAAATGATCCTGTTGGTCAACTGAGTTGCTCGGATATGAAAACATCTTATTGAATAAGACAGACTCACTTGTCTCAGGTGGAACGCTGGTTCTATTGCAGCATGCTAACAGTTTAGCATTCACTGTTCTGAAGTGATTTAGTGCTCCACCACCAGGATGTACAAGAATTAAGAAATTAAGAAGTTGCTTTTTAAAAAGATGAGACTCCCAAACCTAGCCAACCTTTATGTTAATCTACCTTTGCATAAAGAAAGGGCCTCATTTATAAAGCTCTGTGGAGAATCCACACTGAGGAAATGTATGTACGCCCCCAAAAATTCTGATTTACAAAACCGTGAGTACACCTGCCAGTACACTGTTTCCTCTTATAAATCCCAAATCAACTTGAAATTGTCTGTACATCAAAGTCCGGCACTTGGGCAGTGACTTGTGGAGCCATGATGGCAGCATCAGGGGAAATTGCAATGGGACACAAATGAAATTTAAGGCATTGAAAGTCCAAGTAGGGCGGATGGGAGGAGTGGTGGATGGGTCCAACAAACAGTGACTGTCACCCAAGAGAGTAGTGTTCACGTCCGTTGAGATTATAAAACCAAACCCTGTTCTTTTTTTCTAAACCTAACCATGTGGATTAGTTGTTAAAGGGAAAAAAATGTCAATTTGCCTTGTTTTACCGACATAGTGCATTTATTTTGAAAGAGACTGTATGTACATGGTAAAATTATTGTGAAAACGGAAGTGTATTTCTAAAGAAGACAATGCATGTAACAGGCTGAAGTTGCTAACGTTATTAGCACAAGCCTATGGCATTTTACATCGTATAAATTACCAATGAGTGGAGATTTCCCCCACTCATATGAAGTCATGAAAATCACACATAAGATTTAAAATGCTACTTTGTGGAGGCTTTACTGTCTTCACAATTTATTGTTTCTTATCTGTGAAATTAAAGTAAATAAAAGCTTTGTTTCCACTGTGGGAAAAACAAAAAATGGACAGAAGATCTGCGGTGCTGCAACGTGTAGTTACTTTTCTGGGGAGGTCCACGTCAGGCTACAGTGCGGGGTGCGGCATAGGCTTTATGTCGACACAGAGCCTACATCGTAGGTACAGCGTTGATTCGATGCATAAGTATAAATTCCGCCTTAGCATGATCGAGTGGAAGCATAAGTGTAAGCTGAAGTATTAGCATTGAGGCTAAATTGTGTTGTCTTCACTGAGTGACTGAAGTTGACCAATAGGACAATCTGTTGACTTAACACTGAACTGAGTCTGACTGACAGACTCATCATCCTCACATCTTCATCCTTGTCTCTGCAGGGTTTTGTCTGGAAAAGACGGAATAAGATAAAGAAGCCTGAGACAGACAAACGATAAAAGACTGAAACTGAGATGTTAATGATGGCAGAATATATACAAACAGCTAATATCAGGAGTGTATTCTTATCGTTGTCAGAAAACACTAAGCTCTGAATTTCTCATTCTGGTTTTGAGAGACAAACATGTTTATTAATCAGCTCACAAAATGTTTCATTAAAATACAAACAGTAAATTTTGAATTGTCTACATGTATTTTTATGGAAGCTAAATTCTGCACAGAAGAGAAAATGAAAGGTGAGAAATCACAAAAATAAAAAATACTACTGAAAAGTTTGATAATATCTTTTAATAATATTGGCTTGGTATTATATATCTTTTGACATACAAATGTATTTATTTATTTTTCAGTCCTATTTGTTCCTCCATATAATACAAATTATAGCCTAATAGCAGACAGATAATGGAGCTGATTTTCTAAATCAAAATATTGACGTATAAACTCAAAATATGATGAGTAAGAAAAAAAAAACAGTTTACATTTTGAGTGTTGGTTTATCATCAGCCTCCTTGTAAGCCTAGTTTAATTTCTTATTGATGTGACAAAGTATCTGAGTCATTAATGTATTTAGCCTAGTATTAAATACTTAAGGCGATATTATCGACAGTATAAACAAGCTGAATTGAAACATGTTGTACAGTGTTCATTATAATGTGTGTGTGTGTGTGTGTGTGTGTGTGTGTAAGGTGTGTGTATTCTTTGAATCACTGGGTCTTTGTTTAAGGTGTGTGAGTTTGTATGTCGCTAGATGGCGCTGTCGGGTTCCTTTTACCGGAACATAGGCTACTGTGAACGTCCGCGTGCCAGAGCGCGTGCACGTATGTTGAGAGAGAGAAAGAGAAAGCGAGAGAGAGAGAGAGAGCATCTGCCTCCAGACACACACACAAACACACACACACGCGCGCGCGCGCGCGGGGAGGATGCTACCTCGGTTCAGACAACAAACGCGGAGCTGAAGAGGAACCGGACTAACTAACGGACAGACCGACACCGACACCAGGATCTACCGGGCACCGAGCTACCGGGACCGGGCCGAACCTCCCACCGGGCCGGGCCGGACCGAACCTCCTCCCCGTCGGTGTGATTCTCCGGTGAGTGCGCGGCGGACAAGAGAGGAGGGAGGATGAAGAAAAGCAACCAGAGCAGACGGGTAGGAGTCAGTCACTGATTCATCTCTTCAGCATATTTATATCATAATCTTTTAATATCGAATGTGTTGGTATCATTCATCATCGATCCATTCATAACATCCCATAATAATATTTTAACAGAGTGATTGTTATTCAGGGAGCAGCGCTGTGGTGATGATCAAACATTAACACCATGTTCACTGTGTCAGTCAGCAGCTCTGTGATATCATCACATACACCCAGATAGCATCAAACTGACACAATAATATTCACATTACATCATTTACATTTTATATGTCTTTAGAGAGAAGGAGAAACTGCAGGATAAATTTAATATTCTTGTAATAACAGATGTCTGTATAGCCTAATATTCCTTATTAATGGAGCATTCTGTGCAGCTTTAATCATTTCACATAATAATCTGTTTTAGGAAAACACAATCATCAGTCTGACTCTGTTTACAAACTGTTTATATGAACAAAATATTTTTTTGTTATATAAATATATAACAACAACAAAACTCATTTTCTCTTTAAATACAGAGTATAATCTAAAGATATAATAATCAGCGCTGATGTCACAGATCTGTTTATGATTACAGAAGAAATATCTGAATAAATGTAGATATTCTGGGGTAATATTTAAAGTATTTAAAACCATGATTTTTAATGTATTAGCATCAACATATAGGCCTACTGAAAGTATGAAAAGTAAAAGCTCTCATTTTGCAGTGTATATCAATTTAATATGACTAAACAGCAACATCGCTCAGTTCGAGCCACACTGAGAGCTAGATTCTTACAAAAACCCAATTTGAGCTGACTTTGTTTAGCTGCTTCAGCCTGAATATGTTGAGTTTTGGTTCTGATTTAATCCCAGCTAATAAAACATAAAACTAAAGATTTTATACTCCTGTTCGAACCAACAACCAGGTTAAAACTTTGAAAGTAAAACATTTGATCTTAAGATTAAAACTGAGTCTCATTCATGTGAAAGTGTCTGTCCCATGACATCTGAGCTAATCTGCTCAGTCACAGTAAAGTGCTCTGAACCTTTACTTCAGAAAAAGTCCTGATACGACATTTGAAGAATACTTAATTACAACTAAGTATCAAAAGTAAAAGTACTGACCAACATGAGAGCAGCATGTTGCTGTTGTAGCTGCTACACTATATACAGTAACATACTTTGATCTATTGGTTCTCAACCTCGGGGTCTGGCCCCTCTGAAGGGTCACCAGAAAAATCTGCAGCCCAGCAGACAGAAGAAAATGTTGGTGTTGTACGTTTCAAACCACAGATACTTTACATTTGTACGTTTCATATGTATCACATTAATGTATCACATTAATGTTTCTAAAAATTATGTGATTTATGAGCTGACGTTGTCACCAGGTACGGAAGCGCATTGCATTCACTGGATAAAAAAAAATTAGGATCTCGTAATTACAAGAAAAAATCTCGTAATTACGAGAAAAGATCTCGTAATTATGAGATCAGGAATCTCGTAATTATGAGAAAAGATCTCGCAATTACGAGATCAGGATCCGTGAATGTGTCGAATCTTTCAGACGGATTGCTTCGCCAAAAGGCCGATCACACGAAGCCCTGTTTAACAGCTCATTTAGGAGTACTGACATCTGCTAGTCATTTGATGTACAGCAGTCCTACTGTGATATTACATGTGGGCTACATGTCAGTGGATCTGGCATACACATAATGATGCTTAATGATGATGATTACGTCAGAATCCCCCTATGAGGTATTGTAAAGCCAGATGAAATGAATCTATCCTGAACGTGGTATATCAATAAAGTGCATACACACACACACACACACACACACACATATATGTATACATATATATATGTGTGTGTGTCTGTGTGTGTGTGTCCACACAAGGTTAGAGTGCTTGTGTGACTGGGTCACTCAATCCTCTGCACTTAACGATCTTCAGAATCACCTCGGATCATGCAAAACACTTTATGTATTTCCCGACTCGAATCACACAATGAGGCAGTCACGTGATTCCAGAGAAATGGGGCCTCGTTTGTCTTTGGTCACGTGATATCCTGAAAAACGATACGGGCTTCGACACAAGCTTCATTTGGACACGCCCCCTTTGCTCGACACAGGCCTCGGGACTGCAGTATCAGCTGTAACATCACTAGTCGGAGCTACTATAACCAGCTGCCACTCGGGTGGTGCCATCTTGATTATATCCCATATCTTTATTATAATGTGTATATATTGTAAATTACGACGGAGTATTACACTAAGCGAGGACAACAGTGCACACCGTATATATTTTGATCTATTTCATACTTCAGATTTATATTGTTTGGCGTTAATTGGTGACAGAAAAGAACGAATTGCAGGGAAACGCGTGTCCTTACTGTGCATATTGAATCTTGAATCTATGATTTATGAAGACCCTATGTGAGCTCAGAGCTGTGGCACAAGTTACGCACCGAAATCTGGTGGAAGAAAAATAATAATAAGACGAAAAATAAGTAGGCTGTGTGTGACTTATGCGCTGATGAAATGGTGGGTGATCGATGTGCCTGACATCGATTGATTTAGCTTCAGCACCGTGGTAGTGGCCAGCTCCTGTTAAGATATAAACAGAATGAAAGCGGACAAGGTAGCCTAATTATAGAACTTGTCTTGAGAAATAGCTTTCAAATTGAATCAGAGATTAAATGCATTTTCAATAGATGCAACTTTTTAAATTAGGCTATTGCTTTCTTTTCACTTTCTGCATCCATTTAAGATTTTACTTGAGATCACTCTTTAAGAAGCTCTTAACAGGAGCTGGCCGCTACCGCGGTGCTGAAACTAAATCAATCAATGTTTACAGCAATGTCTCAGCACCCAAATTTGTACATATCCAATGTATTTTGAAAGGCTGGGATCACGTGAAGAAGTCCTGAGTGCTTATAAGGAGGCAGGTTGGTGGTTCACAAAAAATAGACTTTTGACCGGGACTTCCCCCTGAAGTCACAGGTTTGGAGCTGTGTGAACTTTGAGTCATTTTAAGGCATGTCCTCACCATGTTTCTTTTCTTAAACTTGACTACCGTAACTTTTATTGCCTAAACCTAACCTCCGTAAAACTTCAGTTAGTAGCCTGGGGTATAATCTGCTTAAATCAGCAGGCCTATATTTGGGACGGGCCTTTAATTCCTTTTACACCTTTAACCTTTTGCCTTTTTACAGGAAATACAATCAAATTGTTTATTTAAACCGGTATAAATATTACTTGTTTAAAAATTAGGCTTCAGATAATATATCAATTATAAATCATTCATTTGATCCAACCACAACAGACAGCACATCAGAGAGAGAGAGTTTCGGCAGCCAGCATACCATCACAACACCACTTTATCCTGTTAAAACAATCCTCACAACTTGGATTAATTTTTATGAAAAAAACCTTTTGATTCTTTTGGTCTGAGGACCCTTACGGACTAAAGGAATATAAATAACTTACAGGGTAATCGAGGAATGAACACATAATTTGAGGTAGCCAACAACCCGGTTTTATGTATCCGAAGAACGTCTATGAGAAAAATGGACTGCATGGCAACCAGACCAGGCCTCTAATTTAGACAGGCCTTTATTTGTCAAAATGTGTTGCCATGCCAGGCAAGTAAAAGGGACTGTGCGTTTAATTGGGACAAGGCTTTTAATTGAAGTTTTACAGTACGTAAGTTTATGTTAATTACATATCTGTACGTGTAAAGTTCTAACATGGATGTCTGTGGGGATTGACTCGCCCTTGGAGCCAGCCTCAAGTGGACATTAGAGGAATTGCAGTTTTTGGCACTATGTCATTGGCTTCATGTTGCAGGCCTGGAGGTTGTTGCTTGATTATGTTTAGTAGAATTTTTTTATTGGTAGCCACTGAGCAGAAACGGTTCGTAACTGTTTGTCTTAGTGTTCGCTGGCACTCGGTAAATATCTTTTGTGCTTTCAACACCAGGTTGTGTTGTTAATAGTGCTGCCCCTGACTAAGAATTTTCCTAGTTGACCAATAGTTGTTATTTAGGACCATTAGCTGACTAGCTGATTAGCTGTGTTATGATATTAATTTAATTATCAAATTATATTTTGTGGGGCAACACAATGGTTTGAGTTGAAGGTATAAGAATGGATTGTATCAGTCATATTGTTAACACTCCGCTATATTACAGAGAAATACAAAACCGTCCTAATGAACCTTCATTAATATAGGCCTATATTTTATCTACAAGTGCACGTCACACACTGAGCGAGCCGCCTGTTAATGACACTGTCAGCAAAGCAGTAATGATTGTGCTAAGTGGCTAATGGGCATGTAGCTACTTCCATGTTTCAGATGATACATCATGTTTTAGTTGACGAATGAAGATGAGTTTACATATCACCTTGGGTTTGTCCTTCACCTTCTCAAAATGATCCCACACTTTGGATTTCCTGCCCAACATGTTATTAACTAGCCTGTGTAATAACCGCAGGTACCAGCCCTGGAAATTAGGGGCTGTACACATGCTGTGTCTTTAACCACCTGGAAAACGTGAGGTCGGGTACTGGGTGCTACTCTTGTGCCTTTTCTGTGCCCGCTGTCAAGAGCACAGCTGCAGGTTTTGTCTGAGATTGCCAAGCAACCATAACAAGCATTGTATAGCCTATTTACCTGAAATCCTGAGAGCAGAGCTGATCTTCTTCCAGGTGCTGTTTATAAGTGTGTAGGCCTGTCGACTGTGGGACAGATGTAAAGCTCTGGGTAGCCCTGCACTAACATGATCAACTTTTCTGTATTTATCAGACTGAATATTTACAGAAGAAGGGAAAGATATCTGTCGGCTGTGATTGGTTTGTAACGTGACTCCTGTCTGACTGCTGAGCGTGGCCTCTTTCTGTGTCTGTCCTTTCAAATTAAATTCCTACATGGCCCATTATATAGGTTTGGATTTATTTTGACAAGGCGCAGCTCCTAATAGAGTTTCACGTTGTTTTTTTTTTTGGTTTTTTTTTGCAACTAAGAAACCAATGAAATCTTGCCGACTAATTACCTGTGTGATCGACTGTGTGAAGAGACACTTCTTAGCCGAGACACAGGTGACATGAAGCGACTCAACAGTCAGCCTTCATCACTGCTGGTTCTTTGATGTCAGTTTTACGTGTCTGGGCCTTAAAGACTAAAGACAAGAGTCTCCTTTTGTCACAGATCACATGACAGACTGTAACATGATTGGCTGTAGCTTTGTTTTATGTACCTGTGTGTGTTTGCAGGCAGGTAAAATTTAAACAGGCAGTTACGTGCTGTTTACCTGCATCACTGCACCACAGTCAGGCTAAAACTCCTATTTAAGATGTTAAAACACTGAGAGGATTAATTTTCTGACCAATAACTGATTGATTGATCACTTGATCAGATCTTCTGTAAGAACAGATCCAGTCAGTTCATCACAGCGATGATAAACCCACCAGCTGGTCTTCTTCTACTTCCTCGTCTGTCATGTGTTTCTTCTCCGCCTTCTGTTATAAAATGAAAGTAGGTCAGACAGAGAACAGATTACTCCTCTACCTCACCTCTCTGTCCTGCTTCATGGTCTTCTTCTGCTCTCTGTAACGTCCTCTCAACTCATCCTCCTCTTCCTCGTCCTGATTAACCCGTCTCCTCTCCTCTTCCTCTCTTCTTGTCATTTCATCCATTGTCATCTCAGTCTAGTCGTGGTTTTCTCTTCTTCGTCATGTTTATCTTGTTTTTCTCCTTGCTGCTCAGAATATTTTGATGTTTTAATGTCCTTTGTGACATTTTCTGTTATCCATGACACAATCTTATCTCTCGTTTTTGCTGGCTTTCTTTTGTCCTTTCCTCCTCCTCCCCCTTTTTCTTTTCTTTCCTTTCTTCATCTCCTTCCTTGCCTTCCTTCTCTTCAGCATTTTTTTCCATTTTCATTCTATTTTTTGCTATTTCCTTTCTTTTTAGTTCCTTCCTCCATCCTTACATCTTTCTTCTTATTTTTTTATCTTCTGTCCTTTCTTCCTTCCCTTCTCTTTCTTCCTCTTTTTCCATCCTTGGTTCACATCATCCTTAATTTTCCCTCTTTCTTTATCTCTTCCTCATTTGCTTTTATGTCTGTATAATTTTCCTTTTTTCCTCTTCCTTCATCCTCTTCCTTCCTTCCTTCCTTCCTTCCTTCCTTTATTAGTTGATGTTGGTCTGAATTTGAAATTCTGTACCTTTATTGAAGAAGACCTGAACCCTGAACGTTCTGTTGTTTTCCTCATGGCTTCTAGTCTCTGTCTGACCCTGTTGTTGTGTTTCAGGTTAAGGACTCAAGTCAGGGCTCTACTGGTTTCTAGTCCCTCTCTGACCCTGTAGTTGGGTTTGATTCAGGAATTGGGTTAGGGCTCTACTGGTTTCTAGTCTCTCTCTCTCTCTCTCTGACCCTGTTGTTGTTATTTTAGGTTCAGGACTCGGGTCAGAGCTCTACTGGTTTCTAGTCTCTTTATGAAACTGTTCAGTTTCAGAAAGAGACTAGAAACCAGTAGAGTCCTGACTTGAATTCTGATCCTGAAACACAACAACACTGTGTTTCAGGATCAGAACTCAAGTCAGGACTCTACTGGTTTCTAGTCTCTGTATGACTCTGTTGTTGTGTTTCAGGTTCAGGGCTCAAGTCGCCCTGACTTGGATCAGAGCTCTACTGGTTTCTAGTCTCTCTCTGACTCTGTTGTTGTGTTTCAGGTTCAGGACTTGAGTCAGGACTCTACTGGTTACTAGTCTCTCTCTGACCCTGTTGTTGGGTTTCAGGTTCAGGACTTGGATCAGAGCTCTACTGGTTTGTAGTCTCTCTCTGACCCTGTTGTTGGGTTTCAGGTTCAGGACTTGAATCAGAGCTCTACTGGTTTGTAGTCTCTCTCTGACCCTGTTGTTGGGTTTCAGGTTCAGTACTGGAGTCAGGGCTCCACTGGTTTCTAGTCTCTGTCTGACCCTGTTGTTGGTTTTCATGTTCAGGACTCAGGTCAAGACTCTACTGGTTACTAGTCTCTCTCTGACCCTGTTGTTGTGTTTCAGGTTCAGGTCTGGAGTCATGACTCTACTGGTTTCCTGTCTTTCTTTGTCCCTGTTGTTCAGGTTCAGGACTCAAGTCAGGACTCTACTGGTTACTAGTCTCTCTCTGACCCTGTTGTTGTGTTTCAGGTTCAGGACTAGGGTCAGGGCTTCACTGGTTTCTAGTCTCTGTCTGACCCTGTTGTGTTTTAGGTTCAGGACTCGAGTCAGGACTCTACTGGTTTCTAGTCTCTCTCTGACCCTGTTGTTGGGATTCAGGTTCAGGACTGGAGTCAGGGCTCTACTGGTTTCTAGTCTTTATCTGACCCTGTTGTTGTTTTTCAGGTTCAGGACTTGGGTCAGCAGGCTGTCCAGCAGCCGGAGAAAGTGGGCTGGATCAGGAAGTTCTGCGGTCGAGGGATCTTCAGGGAGCTGTGGAGGAACCGGTATGTGATCCTTAGAGGAGACCAGCTCTACATTTCTGACAAGGAGGTGAGGACGAGTATTCAAACGTTACATATTTGTGTACATATACACTGTGTTTCTATGTGCTGAGGAGCTTCCTGTTTGTTGCATGAAACTGAAACATCAGAGAGTCTCAGAGGAGAAAATAATCCAACGTAAAACGACTGAAAGCGCCAGAGTGTAAACCATCGTCAGTGTATGGACCGGGCTGCTGATATCAGCATGTTGGACAGGACAGAGAGGCATGTGGTTAGATTTGTGACGGCTGACGGGTCCATTAGAGAGCGGCGAGCTCAGAGTGTAGACTGCTGTTTGGTGTCAGAGGAGGATAGTGTCATAGACTCAACAAGGTGCTGGAAACATTCCTCAGAGATTTAGATCCATATTGACATGATAACATCACACAGTTGCTGCAGATTTGTCAGCTGCACAACCATGATGAAAATATACAGTTCCACCACATCCCAAAGGTGCTCTATTGGATTGAGATCTGGTGACTGTGGAGGCCATTGGAGTACAGTGAACTCATTGTCATGTTCAAGAAATGAGTTTGAGATGATTTTTGCTTTGTGACATGGCCCATTATCCTATATCCCATACTCAGGTAGGCTGTGGTGTTTAAATGATGCTCAGTTGGTACTAAGGGGCCCAAAGTGTGCCAAGAAAATATCCCCCACACCATTACACCACCACCAGCCTGTACCCTTGATACAAGGTAGGATGGATCCATGCTTTCATGTTGTTTACACCAAATTCTGACTCTACCATCTGAATGTCGCTGCAGAAATCCAGACCCATCAAACCAGACAACATTTTTCCAATCTTCTGTTGTCCAGTCTTGGTGAGCCTGTGTGAATTGTAGCCTCAGTTTTCTGTTGTTAGCTGACAGCCCATTTGTTTCAAGGTTCGACATGCTGTTGGTTCAGAGATGGTCTTCTTGACCATCTCTTCTCTTCTCCACTCTAGCTTGTTTGTGTTGTTTTTTTTTTAAATGAACTCTCTGAAGATCTCCCTGTTTTAAAAACTGATATGAACATCTGAAGCTAGAGGACATTGTCCTGTCCTCAGTTTGTTTGTCTTTGGGTGAAAGAAGAAAAAGAGACTCAGCTGCTGTCCTTTCTGGACAGACGTCTTCAAAGTGGCTTCAGTAGAGACCCTGAGATTTTAGTGGCTCAGGGGAGGAACTGAACTAAACAATCTGACGTGTTTTTATTTTCAGCTCTGATGATGCTGAGTCAGTGATCATGTGACCTGTGATATGACGCTCATGTCTTTGTAAAAACATTCTGAGAAAGATACGAGTGGTGGAGAGACATTTAGAAACAGAGAGAGTTGTTATAACTCTATGACCTTACACACACGCACACAGAAAGGCTGCTGCCTGAGCAGTCAACACGTGCCGCTGAATCGAAGATCATCATCTGATGCAGCTGAGCCTGCAGCTACGCACACACGCGCGCACACACACACACACACACACACACACACACGATGCGATTGGACTTTGAACTTATCCCACAGTAGTGGTACCGTGAGGTACCGTAGTACTACAGTACTCCAACAATGCTAGCGCAGGTGGCATCCAATCATGCGGGACATGGTCTCAATTTGCGTGACGCGTGAAAAGAGACAGAAATGCTGTGCAGTCCCGCACAATGCGGGACGTCTGGTCACCCTACTTCCACTGCCACTCGCAAGCAGCAGCTAGTAGGGGGCCCCATTAGGGGAGATTCCAAAGTGTTGTCGTTGTTGTAGTGTCTATAGGGGTTCCATCATATTGTCATTGATATAGACCAATGTCAGGTGTCTCTGGGGGCCCCCTTCCAGCTCAGGGCCCTAGGCAATTGCCTAGTTTGCCTGTCCGGTTGTGACGGCCCTGCCTCAGGTCTCTTCCTCACATCCTCACTGGGCGGAGCTAAGACATGAGACAGAGACATGAGTGAGGGGAGAAAGGAAACATATTAGCATAATGAAAAGCAGCCATTATATGTGCTCCTTCATCCTTTCTTCCTTCTTTGCTCTCTTCTTCTAAACTTTCTTCGTTCCCTCATCTTTTGTTTCTTTCCTCCTGTTTTCCCATATCTGCCTTTGTCCATCCTTCCTTCCTTTCCTCCTCCCCTCCTCCTCTGCTTTATTCTTCCTTCTTTCTATCTGTCCTTCATCCTTCCTTCCTCACTTGCTCTCTTCTTATATCCTTTCTTCTTTACTTCATCTATCCTTCCTTTCGTCTTTGTTTCTTTTATCCTCATTTCTTTCCTTTCTTTATACCTTCTTTCATCTTTCTTAACTTCTTCCTTTTTTCCTTCCTCAACCTTCCTTCATTCTTCCCATATCCTTCTTTCTTCCCTCCTTCTCATATACTTCCTTCCTCTATCATTCTTTCCTTCATCCTTCCTTTTGTCCTCCTTCTTTCTCCCATCCTTTCCTTCCTTCAGTCCTTTCGTTATTTCTTTCTCTCTTCCATTCTTCCTCCTTACTTTTCCTTTCTTTCCTTCTTCCATTCATCTTTCTTTCCTTCTCATATCATTATTTCTTCCTTCCCTTATTCCCATACTTCCTTCCTTCATCCCTCTTTTCTTCATCCTTCCTTTCTTTATTCTTTCCTCCACTGGTCCTTCTTTCCTTCCTTCCTCTATCTTTCGTCTTTCCTGCATCATCCTTCCTGCATCCTAATTTCTTTTGTCATTTTTTCTTTCCTTCCTCATGAGGAGGGAATTTCTCAACACAGACTAACATTTAAGGTCTTCTTCTTCGTTGGTATTTATTTCTCTGCTGATAAAAACATCAAAGACAACATTGCTGTGAAAAGTTACAGATTGTCAGATGTCAGATTGCTGCAGAGTCCCTGAAAGCAGCACAGAGGTCAGGTGTGCAGCAGGTGCAGCAGGTGTGGTTAGATGTTGAAGTGCTGAGTGTTCACATGCACACTGACTCTGCAGTACTTCACATTATATAATAGTCTGTTATGTAACTGTACACACTCTCACTCTGCTGAGTCAGATCTTTGTACAAATACTGCTTCACTTTTTATTTCTGTGTTTAAACTGAAAGAGATCTGCAGATACACAGACATGATGATGATGATGATGATGATGACATCACTGCTTCATCTGCCTGCTGATTCATTCAGACATTTAGTTTATGTTAAACTGCCCTCACATTTACATGAAGCACTTGACTTAAGGGAGCTGAAACAAGAAAAATAATTTTGATTCATTTTTGGTGCTTTCTTTGTGAAATGCTGTGATTCTGGATTATTTGTCACATTTATCTGTCTGTATTTATATATGTCACGTAAAGGTTTTTATATCAGGCCATTTGTTCTGTTTTCACTTCACTGAGTTTCAGAAACACGATAAGTTCTTCTTTGATTTCTTTATTGTTTCTCTTTTCCCATCTTTCTCCGGAGGCCAGCTACACGGAGCAGCAGAATAATGACTCATGTTAACCCACGAGTGTGTGTATGTGTGTGTGTGTGTGTGTGTGTGTGTGTGTGTGTGTGTGTGTGTGTGTGTGTGTCCTCAGATCAGTCGTTTTGTTTCTGTATTTCAAATGTTGACCCAGAACACTTTAATAAAGCAGCAGCCTGAGGGAGGCTTCTGTGTTTGTGTATGTGCATCCCTTCATGCAGGAACATTAAAACAGCTCATTATTAGTTTTTCAAATTATGGTTCAGATGATCAAATATTGCATCAATTTGTTCAAGCGTTTGGCGTCCACAGAGTTTGCCTGTGAATCAAACACAAGAATGTGTGTTTAAGTAGAAAGAAAATCTCTCTGATTACAGGTCACATTGTGTTGGCTTGCCCACCATATGGGGACAAAATTAAAGTCCCCACAATGTAAATCAGTTAAGTTGTAAGGTTTGGTTTAAGGTTAAAGGGGATCTATTCTAAATTCAGAGTGTATGAGTTACTTGCACGCAGTTCTCAACATGGAGGCTGGCTGAGCCGACGGCTGGTAGCTAATGGTGGTAGCTCAAAAAACAGCACTAAACAATGGCAATAGTTCACTGAAAGTTTTCAGATTACCATTCAGATGATCAGTCGTTGAAGCTGTTTGATCAAACATTTGTTATCTGCAGAGTTCACCTGTAAATCAAACAGAAGATAAAAAAAAAGTCCATGGTCACATTCGTTGGCTCACCCACCTTATAGGGACAAACCAAAAGTCCCCACACTCTACATAAGTCAAACTTAGGGCTAAGGCTTGGTTTAAGGTTAAAGAGGCTTTATGTGTAATTAAGTGTGTATGAGTTCTCAACATGGACGTGGCCGAGTTTTTAAATGACCGTTCAGACAATCAGTCGTTGCAGCTGTTTTTTGTCTGCAGAGTTCACCTGTAAATCAAACATAAGAACAAGAACCTGGGAGTAATTTGAGTAAAGTCTAGTGTCACATTGTGTTGACTGACCTACCTTATGGGGACAAAATAAAAGTCCCCACAATGTCAGTAAATTTCTAAGGTTTGGTTTAAGGTTAAAGGGGATGTATTCTAAATTCAGAGCGTATGAATTGTCTGCCTGCAGTTCTCAACATGGAGGTCAGCTGAGCCAGCGGCTGGTAGCTAATGGTGCTAGCTAAAAAAACAGTGCTAAACAAGGGCAAGAGTTCATTATTAGTCTTTCTGCTTTTGCGATACTCACTGTCGATACTCACACGACGAACTCTATGCTGCAGAGCAAAATCTGTGTGCATTCACGTCGGCGGCAACCACCTCACACCCCTACCACTGATTTTGAAACCACCTCCCCTCTGTCACCTTCCCCTCAATTAAATAAATCATTGCACAGTGGTGTGAAACCTGGTGTTAACGTGCAGGAACCAGCAGGTGCTTGCTAAGGGTGCTTTCACACCTGCCCTTTTTGGTTTGATTCAGTCGAACTCAAGTTTGTTTGCCCCCTAAGCACAGGTCATTTGGCCGGTTGTGAACACAGCATTGGCACTTGGGTGCGCATATAAACAACTGGATTGAGACCCTCTTGAAGAGGTGGTCTCGGTCCGGTTACAAACGACCTCTGGTGCAGT